TAGAATGGGCCTGTCAGGCTGGAAGGAGATATTTTCCTTGGTCTAAGAACCATTTGCCTTGTGTGGGAAGAGATTGATAGGTGGAAGTTTCAGCGGGGGAGTAGGTGGGAATGACCAATGTGAAGGAGAAAAACTGACCGTGAGGGACAGAAGTTGGAACACTAACTGCTTTTTTAGCTAACTTATCAACATAAGCATTGTCTTGAGCAATGGGATCTGATGCCTTTCGATGGCCCATGGCCCTTGCAGTGAATGACTCCAGCTTCCTTTGGAAGTAAAGTGGCTTTGAGAAGCGTTTTCATTAAAGAGGCATTAATGATGGAGGACCCTTACGTGGTGAGGAAACCTCTTTCAGCCCATATAACAGCATGGTGGTGCAGGATGTGGAAGGCATATTTAGAGTCAGTATAAATATTGATGCGTAGTCCTTTTGCAAGAGTGAGGGCCCAAGTTAAGGCAACTAGTTCGGCTTGCTGAGAGGTAGTGGAGGGAGGCAGAGTGGTAGTCTCAATGATAGATGTGGAAGATACTATAGCATAGCCTGAGTTTGCTGGTGAGTGGCAATTAGGCCTGGTGGAACTGCCATCAATAAACCAAGTATGTTAAGGGTGAGGAACAGGAAAGAATATGGGGAAATGGGGTAAATGTCAGATGGATCAGAGAGATACAGTCATAGGGGTCAGGTGTGGTATCAGGAATAATGTGGGAGGCCGGATTGAAGTCCAGGCCAGAAACAATCGTAATTGTGGGAGACTCAACAAAGAGTGAGTATAGCTGAAGGAGCCAGGGAGCAGTGTCAGGTGGGAGGAAGAAAATAGATTTTGGAAGTTATGAGAACTGTAGAGAGTGAGTTGAGCACAGTTTGTGATTTTTAGGGCCTCTAAAAGTATTAAAGCAGCGGCAGCCACTGCACGCAGACATGAGACCTAGGCTAAAACAGTAAGGTCAAGTTGTTTGGACAGAAAGGCTACAGGACGCAATCCTGGCTCTTGTGTAAGAATTCTGACCACACTAACCATGCCTAGGAAGGAAAGGAGTTGTTTTGTAGAAGGGATTGGGGTTTGGGAGATTAGCCAGACATGATCAGCAGAGAGAGCACGTATGTTTTTATGAGAATTATGCCGAGATAGGTAATAGATGAGGAAGAAATTTGGGCTTGACTGAAGTAATGGGGGCTGTCTGTGAAGCCTTGTGGCAGTACAGCCCAGGTAATTTGCTGAGCCTGATGGGTGTCAGGGTCAGTCCAGGTGAAAGTGAAGAGAGGCTGGGATGAAGGGTATAAAGGAATATAAAGAAAGCATGTTTGAGATCCAGAACAGAATACTGGGTTGTGGAGGGAGGTATTGAGGATAGGAGAGTATATGGGTTTTGCACTATGGGGTGAACAGGCAAGACAATTTGGTTGATAAGGTGCGGATCCTGAACTAACCTGTAAGTCTTGTCTGGGTCTAGGACAGGTAAAATGGGGGAATTGTAAGAAGAGTTTATAGGCTTTAAAAGGCCGTGCTCTAACAGTTGAGTGATAACAGGCTTTAATTCTTTTAAAGCGTACTGTGGGATGGGATATTGGCATTGAGCGGGGTAAGGGTGATTAGGTTTTAATGGGATGGTAAGGGGTGCATGATCAGTCGCCAAGGAGGGAGTAGAGGCATCCTATACTTGTGGGTTAAGGTGGGGGGATACGAGAGGAGGATGCAAAGGAGGCTTTGGACTGGGGAAAACAGCGTCGCTGAGGTGTGGCTGTAGTCCAGGAACAGTCAGGGAAGCAGATAATTTAGTTAAAATGTCTCGACCTAATAAGGGAGCTGGGCAGGTGGGGATAACTAAAAAGGAGTACATAAAAGAATGTTGTCTAAGTTGGCACCAGAGTTGGGGAGTTTTAAGAGGTTTAGAAACCTGGCCGTCAATACCCACAACACTTATGAAGGCAAAGGAAACAGGCCTTTGAAAAGAAGGTAATGTGGAGTGGGTAGCCTTCATATTGATTAAGAAGGGGACGGACTTACCCTCCACTGTGAGAGTTACCTAAAGCGTCTGCGATGGTCCAGGAGGCTGCCGAGGTGATTGGGCAGCGTCAGTCTTTAGCCGCTAAGCCAAGAAGATCTGGGAAGGAGTCAGAGAGCCTTGGACCAGAGTTCTAGGGGCTCTGGGAGTGGCTCCCAGGCGAGTCGAACACTCCAATTTTCTGTGGGTTCCCATAGATGGGACACGGCTTAGGAGGAATTCTGGGCTGCGGACATTGCTTGGCCCAGTGGCCAGATTTCCAGCACTTGTAGCAAGCTTCTGGGGGAGGCGGTCCTGGAGGAATGACTGGCTGCTGCAATTCAGGCGTTTGGAAGTTCTTGTGTGCTGGAGATGTGGCTAGGGTTTGTCTCACAGTGGAGGCAAGGAATTGCAACTCAGAAATACGTTGCTACTTGGCTGCCTTCATTATTATTATATACCTTGAAGGCGAATTAAGTCCTGTTTTGGGGTTTGAGGGCCAGAATCTAATTTTTGGAGTTTTATTTAATGTCGGGAGCGGATTGGATAATAAAATGTATATTGAGAATAAGACGGCCTTTCGACATTTTAGGGTCTAGGGCTGTAAAGCATCTCAGGGTTGTTGCCAAACAAGCCATGAACTGGGCTGGGTTTTTCATATTTGATGAAAAAGAGCCTAAATGCTAACTGATTTGGGAGAGGTTGGATAAAGAAAAAGGAACATTAACCTTGACTATGTCTTTAGCTCCAGTCACCTTTTTAAGAGGAAATAGCTGGGCAAGTGGGGAGGGCTAGTCGTGGAACAAAACTAAGCCAGACCGGGTGTGAGGAGGGGAGGTGATAAAAGGATTATAGGGTGGGGAGCGGAGGCTGAGGAAAATTTGAGACCTAGCTCGGCCTGGTGAGGAGGGGAGAAGTCAGATTGGTCTGTAGAAAAGGAAGATTAGAAAGACTCAGCGATGCTTGGGGTTGGGACTGAGGGAAGAGGCGGGAGGGAAAGATGAAAGATTTGGGACGAGTTGCATTGGGAACAGAGACTAGGGAGGGACCGATGTGTAAAAGAATGCCTGGACGTCAGGCACCTCAGACTGTTTGCCCATTTTACGACAAGAATTATATAGATCTTGTAGGATGGAAAAATCGAAAGTGCCGTTTTCTGGCTATTGGGAACCACTGTCGAGTTTGTATTGGGGTCAGGTGGCATTGTAGAAGAAAATAAGGTGTTTAGGTTTAGGTCAGGTGTGAGTTGAAGAGGTTTTAAGTTCTTGAGAACACAGGCTAAGGGAGAAGAAGGAGCAATGGAGGGTGGAAGGTTGCCCATAGTGAAGGAGGCAAGCCCAGAGAAAAGAGAGTAGAGACATGGAGAGAAGGAGTGGGGGGTGCTTGCCCCCCAGAAAAGTGGAGGAGTAGAGACACGGAGAGAAGGGGTCGGGGGGTTCTTGCCCCCCAGAAAAGCAGAGAAGGGGTAGAGACACGGAGAGAAGGGGTCGGGGGGTTCTTGCCCTCCAAAAAAGCGGAGAAGGGGTAGAGACATGGAGAGAAGGGGTCGGGGGGTTCTTGCCCCCCAGAAAAGCAGTAGTTGCTGCTAAGGGTGAAGGACCAAGGCAGGCGTCCCGTGTGGTCAGACATCTCTGAAGTGTGGGCGAATAATCAGGCAGCCATCCCCGGGTGAGTAAACACCAAGGGAAGACTGTCTTCCCGAGTCCGTGACCAGTGCCGGAGTTTTGGGTCCACAGATAAAACGCGTCTCCTCTGTCTCTACCAGAAATGGAAAGGAACTGAAATTAAGAGAAGGGAGAGATTGAAGTGTGACGCCAAGATTGAAAGGAGAAAGAGGTTGAGGGATAGTGAGAGAGATTGGAGAAGAGAGTAAAAAGAGGCCGCTTACCAGATTTAAAATTGGTGAGATGTTCCTTGGGCTGGTCTGTCTGAGGACCTGAGGTCGTAGGTGGATCTTTCTCACAGAGCAAAGAGCAAGAGGACAGGGGATTGATCTCCCGAAGGAGGTCCCCCGATCCGAGTCATGGCACCAAAATGTCACTGGCATCCGTGTGAAGAGACCACCAAACAGGCTTTGTGTGAGCAATAAATCACCTGGGTGCAGTCGGGCTGAGTCCGAAAAGAGTCAGCGAAGGGAGATAGGGGTGGGGCCGTTTTATAGGATTTGGGTAGGTAGAAGAAAAAATTACAGTCAAAGGGGGTGCTCTGGCAGGCAGGGGTGGGGGTCACAAGGTGCTCAGTGGGGGAGCTTTTGAGGCAGGATGTGCCAGGAAAAGGAATTTCACAAGATAATATCATCGCCTAAGGCAAGGACTGGCCATTTTCACTTCTTTTGTGGTGGAATGTCATCAGTTAAGGCAGGAACCGGCCATCTGGATGTGTACGTGCAGGTCACAGGGGATATGATGGCTTAGCTTTGGCTCAGAGGCCTGACAGTTGATACTTATGAAAATCAGTGGTTTTGATAATGAATGTGAATTAGTAATTATAAAGATAAACTTTCACTTGTGTGGTAAGCATTCTGAAATATCTTTGAACATAGAAGCCACTTGTATGTAGGAGAGATAGTTAATGAAGTCGTATTCCTTCTTTTTATATAAATTACAATGATTATATTTAGAGACTCCAAGGAACTTTAAAAGGTACAGGAGCATTGGCTGGATTTCTTTATGAATAAGGGGAGAAAAATTCTCTGTGGAAGTTAAGTACCTGTATTCAGCAAATTAACTCTTTTTGGAAATAGAGGCACTATTTAAATCTTGGGAAACATCAGCTTGCCTGATAAAAAGTAAAGACCCTTTTGCCTTTCCTCAGTGAACATATTAAAAACTATCTATTTAAAAATGTTGATATCTGTCAGCAGCCCACCCTGGAAAGTCTGTGGTGAAATGTCATAGGCCTCACTTCTCCCATCTTCCTGTTTCAGAGACAATTCTGAGCTCTTCCAAGATAGGAAAGCACACTGCGAGAGTCCTGTAGGTGGCAGTGTTTGCTTTACTCTGAAAATGTCTTTACAGGTCATCATCAAGAATATGGGCTGGAATCTCATTGGTCCTGTTGTTCGATGCCTTTTGTGTAAAGATAAAGAGGATGCTAAAAGAAAAGTTTGCTTTTTGATCTTTGATTTATTAGTAAAGGTAAGTTAACAAGGTTCTCTTTGTCATAACACACAGCAGTATTTTATAATTCCCTTTAATGTTTATTGTTTGGTAAGAAAGCTTTCGGTTCATGAAAGTACATGCAGAAAGGAACTTGTTGGAGAAAAGACCCAGTCTTATTGATTGGATAGGCAGTTCCATTTCAGGATTTCCCAAATTCTCTGGATAAAAGAATTTTCTAACCTCATTAACTTCATATCAGACCCATTGATTCAGCATCTCCAGGGAGAGACCTGGGAAGCTATATTTTAACAAGTAACTTTTTGTATAGATGTGGAATACAAGGTTTAGAGAGGTAGTTCAAGGTCACATTTATCTTTTGGCAGCATTAGAACTAGAATTAAAATGTCAGTCGTCTTTCTTTGTGGTACGTTCCTTAAAAGAGAATCGAAAGCCTAGAATACAAGTGATTAAAATGAAAGTAGGAATAGGGGTAGAACATAGATCAGTTGTGACTAACAACCTTAGAAAGAGACCGTTGGTAAAAGGCTAGTAGAGTTTAAAGGCAATATTTGATGGCTAAGAAAGAAAAATTCTGAGAAAAAGGATGTTATAAGAAACTGCTTAGTGATCAGTGTAAACATACCCAAATATATATTTGGAAGGAGAGCTCCGTCTGTATGAGTTATTGACTAAGGGAGCTGGGAGCTTTTTAAAAAAACAGTCAAGTGAGATGATAAAATATTGCCAGTCAGAAAGCAATGCAAAGTTTCACCTGTTTAAAAAATACAGAAGCGATTCCGGACTAGCCTAAATAGGCTTGCAGCGTGGGATTGAAAGGTCCCACCTGCTGGAGCCCCTGGGAATTTATTAAGGCAATTTCAGAGTAGACAGGTGAAGCACAAAGGAAACCTGAGCTTAAAGATCCATTGACTTCTTGCTGCTTTTTAGTTTTATAGTTACTTGACCATCACAGATTCTGTGTTTTGCTAGTGCATATTTTTTTAACAATTGTATAAATAATTTTAATGTTAAGCAAAAACATAATTGTATAATATTTTTTGTCAATATGTCTTCTTAAAAATAGTAATAATGTGGCTTTAAATACAACTTGTATTAAACAGGTTCAATTGTGAATATTTTTATAGTTATGCAATCCAAAGGAATTATTGTTGGGTTTGCTTGAACTGATTGAAGAGCCCTCTGGAAAACAGATATCCCAAAGTATTCTTCTTTTGCTTCAGCCATTACAAACAGGTAATGAGAATTTTGATATCAGAGTACTTCTTGTTGTATCTTTTAAGTGCCTTGATGGTTACCCCAAAATGTCAATACTACACCAAAGTTTACAGCTAATTAGTGAGTACTCTGCTTAAACGAATAATAGCAATGCCAATGTGAATTCTGCTGCTCATGGAAAGATTATAGTATCTGGCCAGAGTGGGTACCCAGTAAATATTCTGTTAAATGTCATACTATTTTTCATGTGCTGTATTGAAACCTATACCTTTTTGCCTAACCTTCCTATCTGCTGCTTAAATCTAGAATTTTCTCCCGAAACATATTTCAAGGATTACCTCTGTGGTGTCTGCAGTACTAAATCTGATAGCATTATAGTAGTCCAGAAGAGTATCAGGCAGGACATTGCTCAGCCTCTGCTTTGGGAGGTGGATTGGGCATAGCAAAGGTACTGCTGAAGAATGAAATGAGGAGATATGGCATGATAAGGCTCCATGGCTGAGTGCAGTAACAATATTGGTAGGTAATGGGTCTTGGCAACCGAGGCAGACAGTATCCATGGGAAAAGGTTATTTTTCATTTTAGGAAATTCATTTATCTCACAATCTGATAGAGGGACCTGGAATCAGAAATTATATTTGTTTTAAATATGAATGCCTACCAGCTTCATACCACCTATAATATTCTGTCTTCTAGGGGAAAAAAATCTAATAATACCACCTCCTATTTGTATAGTGCTTTGCAGTTTACAATACACTCTCATATTTTGTGCTTATAACACAAAAAACATGGAAAGAACATGTTTCTTAAGTACATAGCCTGTTACACATAGTCGGTTATAAACATAACCTAAACAGCATTTCATGGCAAGATGCTGTGTCATTTTATGCACAACTAAGAAGAAAAAAACACTGCCAGTTAGACTGTGATGTGTCATCTTGATTTCAAGAGCTGTTAAAATATGGAAGGAGGAGGTATCTTGTAATTCCACATTTGCCGAATTTCTTGTCCCGTGTTTAGCATACTTGATGAGCGACAACTTGATCTTTGTTCTAGTGATTCAGAAACTTCATAACAAGGCATATTCAATTGGATTAGCATTGTCTACCCTTTGGAATCAGCTATCTCTTCTTCCTGTTCCATACTCAAAAGAACAAATACAAATGGATGACTATGGCCTTTGTCAGTGTTGCAAGGCCTTAATAGAGTTCACTAAGCCTTTTGTGGAAGAAGTCATTGATAACAAAGAAAACTCACTGGAAAATGAAAAGTTGAAGGATGAATTACTGAAATTGTAAGTATAATTTTAAGAACATCTCACAATGGACTTAAGTAATTGATAGTTCAGTTATTTTATGTTTCTTCACCTTGTTTGACATGTAAATAGAAATCTAGTTTCACATTTTGAATTTCAGAAGAATGTAGGGTTCAACTGATACAGCATGGGGACTTGAGACATTTATATTTAAAAAAATTATAGGCCGGGTGTAGTGGCTCACACATGTAATCCCATCACTTTGGGAGACTGACATGAGAGGATTGTTTGGGGCCAGGAGTTTGAGACCAGCCTTGGCAACATAGCGAGACCCCCATCTCTACAAAAAAAAATTTAAAAATTAGCTGGATGTAGTGGCATATACCTGTAGTGCTACTACTTGGGAGGCTGAGACTAGAGGATGGGTTGAATCCAGGAGTGTGAGGCTGCAGTGAATGATGATCGGCCACTATACTCCAGCCTGGGCAACAGAGCAAGACCCTGTCTTTAAAAAACTAATTAATAAAATAATTATAAAACCAAAATCCATTCATTTACTTTATATTCTTCTTTGTATTGCCTTTATTCATCATAGTAAGTGAATAATGAAAGTGGGGGAAATAGATACATGTAGCTCAGGGTGAGTGTGGGAAATAGATATATGTAGCTCTGTGGAGAAATTGTGTTTTACTCTTTCAAAGAAAGCAGCAGAAGGACCACCAGACAGAACATCCAACTTGACTACAAAAATAGTAGTAGAGTATCCACCCAACAGCATTCCCTCCATGGGTACTATAGACTAAACATGTACTGTTCAATATGGCTGTAACATGTGACATATGGCTGGTCAAAATTCAGATGTACTTTAAGTATAAAATATCCCCTGGATTTTGAAGACTTGTTATTTAAAAAAAAAAAAAAAAAGTAAAATACCTCAATAATTTTTATATTCATAACATGTTGAAATGACAATATTTCAGATATATTGGGTTAAGAAATTATTAAAATCATCTCTCCCATTCTTACTACTTTTTTCATATGTCTACTAAAAGATCTTATATGTAGGGCTATGTTATATTTCTATTGGACAGTGATAGACTAGATTATTTAATTACATGGACCAGTAATTTTTAAATTTTGGCTACTTGGAGGCTGAGGCAGGAGGATCACTTGACGCCAGGAGTTCAAGACCAACTTAAGCAACACAGCAAGACCTCATCTCTAAAAAATAGAATATAAAATAATATTTTAATTTTGGAGACATACTATTTTTAGCTTCCTACTTGTCAGGACATTTAAAAAAAATTAATAGCCAGATGTGGTGGCTCACGCCTGTAATCATAACACTTTGGGAGGCCAAGGTGGGAGATTGCTTGAGGTCAGGAGTTTGAGACCAGCCTGGGCAACATAGTGAGACCCTGTCTCTACAAAAAATAAAAAAGTTAGCTGGGCACAGTGTTGTGTGCCTGTAGTCCAAGCTACTTGGCAGGCTGCGGCAGGAGGATCCTTTGGGCCCAGGAGTTTGAGGTTACAGTGCGCTATTATTGTGCCACTGCATTCCAGCCTGGGTGACAGAGACCCTGTCTCAAAAAAAAGTTTTTTACCATTTATAAAATCCATTATCTCATAAAAGAAAAGGTATTTTAACTAAAGAAATAGGAAAGGCTTAATCACAGAATAAAGTTTCATTTTCTAAATAAAACAAATAGAGCTGTGTGAAAAAATGACTATTTCCTGATTTTTTCTTTGAACTAATGAAAACAACATCATAGACTAGCACTGGCCCTCAAACATTCAGAATTCAATGGAATAGTTCAGATGTAGAAGTCAGTCTTAGCATGTTGAGTCTCCCAAGGTGTTCTCATGTTCTCCCTATTACTAGTACGAACGACGTTACATCAACAGTTTTATAGAACATTAAGTTATTGATGCTTGTCTTAATCCACTTGTGCTGATATAACAGACTACCTAAGACTGGGTGATTTATAATGAACGAAATTCATTGGTTCACAGTTCTGGAGGCTGGGAAGTCTACAGTTAAGGCGCTGGCATCTGGCAAGGGCCTTCTAGCTGTGTCATAATGTGGCTGAAGATAAAAGGGCAAAAGGCAAAAGTGGGCTGAACTTGCCCTTTTACAAGAGCATTAATCTCATGCATGAGAGTGGAGCCCCGTTGGCCTAATTCCCGCCTCTTTATGGCAGTTAAATTTCAACATGAGTTTTGGAGAGGAGAGTCATTCAAACCATAGCAGTGCTTATGTTATTTTTCAAGTAAAATTAACTTAGATTTGAAGAACTAGGGATTTTATACTTGGAAGTGTTGATTTCATAGTTACCTATTTCTTATGCCTTAGTTGTTTCAAAAGCTTGAAATGCCCTTTGCTGACAGCACAATTCCTTGAACAGTCTGAAGAAGGTGGAAATGATCCTTTCAGGTATTTTGCATCAGAAATAATAGTAAGTACAGCTAATTTAATCTATAATCTCAAATGTTATCCCACTATATTCTCAGTACTGCACATGTAAATTGATACATTCATTAATAAAGAAATATGTATTTTTTGTAGAATACATAAAAGATGGAAAATAAAACAGCAATAATTTTATTATCCAAAGATAAATATTGATATCCTCCAGGCTTTTTTCTTATATACTTATTTATAATAATATATATAAAATTTTCAAAGATTATATATGTATTCTTATAATCTATGTTTTTCCTCTTCAACAGTATTATTATGAATATTTTTCCATTGGCTTAATAGTGTCCTATGGTATGGACTTAGCATAATGTATTTCACCTATGCCATATAGTTCAACATTTGGATTGTTACTAATTTTTCATTATTGTAGGACAACTCCAACTTTCTTTTTTTTAACTGTTAAGTCTATTATAAGTAACCTAGTAACTAAATTTTTGTATACTTCTAAAATTATTTCCTTAAAGTTCCTAGAGTGGAAGTTCCATGCCCCATGATAAATATTTTCAAAATAGCTCCATATATAAGTAAATTTTATTTTAAAAGCAGTTTGGCTGTATGCATCAATAGTATTTTAAAATGTACTCAGATTCTGTATTAGAGAAATAATCTGGAATATTAAAAAATGTATTTTAAGTTGATGTTTATGAATTTCAAAAGAGCAGTCCATGTGGCCGTGTAGTTTTCTTCAGCCATGGTCAGCTACATGAGTGCAGGCACAGCATAGGAGTAACATTTGGTTTAATTAGGGTGAGGTTTTGAGAACCTCACCCCTCTTGTAGAGAGCAAGAGGGGGGCAAGGGATTGAGCATGTATGTAAGGTGATTTTTTTTTTTCAATTATATAAGTTCTAAGTTACATGTGCACAACGTGCAGGTTTGTTACATAGGTATACATGTGCCATGTTTGTTTGCTGTACCCATCAACTCATCGTTTACATTAGGTATTTCTCCTAATGCTATCCCTCCCCCAGGCCCCCATGTCCCGACTGGCCCTGGTGTGTGATGTTCCCCACCCTGTGTCCATGTGTTCTGTCCTACCTATGAGTAAGAACATGCGGTGTTTGGTTTTCTGTTCTTGTGATAGTTTGCTTAGAATGATGGTTTCCAGCTTCATCCATGTCCCTGCAAAGGACATGAACTCATCCTTTTTTATGGCTGCATAGTATTTCATTGTGTGTATGTGCCACATTTTCTTAATCCAGTCTATCATTGATGGACATTTGGATTGGTTCCAAGTCTTTGCTATTGTGAATAGTGCCACTATAAACATATGTGTGCATGTGTCTTTATAGCAGCGTGATTTATAATCCTTTGGGTATATACCCAGTATTGGGATCGCTGGGTCAAATGGTATTTCTAGTTCTGGATCCTTGAGGAATCGCCACACTGTCTTCCACAATGGTTGAACTAATTTACACTCCCACCAACAGTGTAAAAGCATTCCTATTTCTCCACATCCTCTCCAGCACCTGTTGTTTCGTGACTTTTTAATGATTGCCATTCTAACTGGCATGAGATGGTATCTCATTGTGGTTTTCATTTGTGTTTCTCCAATGACCAGTGATGAGCATTTTTTTATGTCTGTTGGCTGCATAAATGTCTTCTTTTGAGAAGTGTCTATTCATATCCTTTGCCCACTTTTTGATGGGGGCTGTTTGTTTTTTTCTTATAAATTTAAGTTCCTTGTAGATTCTGGATATTAGCCCTTTGTCAGATGGATAGATTGCACAAATTTTCTCCCATTTTGTACGTTGTCTGTTCACTCTGATGATAGTTTCTTTTGCTGTGCAGAAGCTCTTTAGTTTAATTAGATACCATTTGTCTATTTGGGCTTTTGTTGCCATTGCTTTTGGTGTTTTAGTCATGAAGTCTTTGCCCATGCCTATGTTCTGAATGGTATTACCTAGGTTTTCTTTTAGGGTTTTTATGGTGTTAGGTCTTACATTTAAGTCTTTAATCCATCTCGAGTTAATTTTTGTATAAGGTGTAAGGAAGGCATCCAGTTTCAGCTTTCCACATATGGCTAGCCAGTTTTCCCAGCACCGTTTATTAAATAGGGAATCCTTTCTCCATTGCTTGTTTTTGTCAAGTTTGTCAAAGATCAGATGGTTGTAGATGTGTAGTGTTATTTCAGAGGCCTCTGTTCTGTTCCATTGGTCTGTGTATCTGTTTTGGTACCAGTACCATACTGTTTTGGTTACTGTAGCCTTGTAGTGTAGTTTGAAGTCAGGTAGCATGATGCCTCCAGCTTTGTTCTTTTTGCTTAGGATTGTCTTGGCTGTACGGGCTCTTTTTTGGTTCCATATGAACTTTAAAGTAGTTTTTTCCAACTCTGTGAAGAAAGTCAGTGGTAGCTTGATGGGGATAGCATTGAATCTGTAAATTACTTTGGGCAGTATGACCATTTTCACGATACTGATTCTTCCTATCCATGAGCATGGAATGTTCTTCCATTTGTTTGTGTCTTCTTTTATTTCGTTGAGCAGTGGTTTGTAGTTCTCCTTGAAGAGGTCCTTCACATCTCTGGTATATTGGATTCCTAGCTATTTTATTCTCTTTGTAGTAATTGTGAATGGGAGGTCACTCATGATTTGGCTCTCTGTTTGTCTATTATTGGTGTATAGGAACACTTGTGATTTTTGCACATTGATTTTGTATTCTGAGACTTTGCTGAAGTTGCTTATCAGCTTAAAGAGATTTTGGTCTGAGACAATGGGGTTTTTTAAATATACAATCGTGTCGTCTGCAAACAGAGACAATTTGACTTCCTCTTTTCTTAATCAAATACCTTTATTGCTTTCTCTTGCCTGATTGCCCTAGCCAGAACTCCAACACTTTGTTGAACAGGAGTGGTGAGAGAGGGCATCCTTATCTTGTGCTGGCTTTCAAAGGGAATGCTTCCAATTTTTTGCCCATTCAGGCTGTGGGTTTGTCAAAAAAGCGCTTATTATTTTGAGATACGTTCCATCAGTACCTAGTTTATTGAGAGTTTTTAGCATGAAGGACTGTTGAATTTTGTCAAAGGCCTTTTCTGCATCTATTGAGATAATCATGTGGTTTTTTGTCATTGGTTCTGTTTATGTGGTGGATTACATTTATTGATTTGCATATGTTGAACCAGCCTTGCATCCCAGGGATGAAGCCGACTTGATTGTGGCGGATGAGATTTTTGATGTGCTGCTGGATTCAGTATTTTATTGAGGACTTTCGCATCGATGTTTATCAGGGATATTGCCCTAAAATTCTCTTTTTTTGTTGTGTCTCTACCAGGCTTTGGTATCAGGATGATCCTGGCCTCATAAAATGAGTTAGGGAGGATTCCCTCTTTTTCTATTGATTGGAATAGTTTCAGAAGGAATGGTACCATCTCCTTTTTGTACCTGTGGTAGAATTCAGCTGTGAATCTGTCTGGTTCTGAACTTTTTTTGGTTGGTAGGCTATTAATTTATTGCCTCAATTTCAGAACCTGTTATTGGTCTATTCAGAGATTCAACTTCTTTTTGATTTAGTCTTGGGAGGGTGTATGTGTCCAGGAATTTATCCATTTCTTCTAGATTTTCTAGTTTATTTGCATAGAGGTGTTTATACTATTCTCTGATGGTAGTTTGTATTTCTGTGAGATCAGTGGTGATATCACCTTTATCATTTTTTATTGTGTCTATTTGATTCTTCTCTCTTTTCTTTATTAATCTTGCTAGAGGTCTATGTATTTTGCTGATATTTTCAAAAAACCAGCTCCTGGATTCACTGATTTTTTTTTTTAAGGGGTTTTTTGTGTCTCTATCTTCTTCAGTTCTACTCTCATCTTAGTTATTTCTTGCCTTCTGCTGGCTTTTGAATTTGTTTGCTCTTGCTTCTCTAGTTCTTTTCATTGTGATGTTAGGATGTCATTTTAGCTCCTTCCTGCTTTCTTTTGTGGTCATTTACTGCTACAAATTTCCCTCTACTTACTGCTTTAAAAGTGTCCCAGAGATTCTGAAACGTGTCTTTGTTCTCATTGTTTTCAAAGAACATCTCTATTTCTGCCTTCATTTCGTTATTTACCCCAGTAGTCATTCAGGAGCAGGTTGTTCAGTTTCCATGTAGTTGTGCAGTTTTGAGTGAGTTTCTGAATCCTGAGTTCTAATTTGATTACACTGTGGTCTGAGAGACTGTTGTGATTTCTGTTCTTTTACATTTGCTGAGTAGTATTTTACTACCAATTATGTGGTCAGTTTTAGAATAAGTATGATGTGGTGCTGAGAAGAATGTATATTCTGTTGATTTGGGGTGGAGGGTTCTGTAGATGTCTATTAGGTCCACTTGGTCCAGAGCTGAGTTCAAGTTCTGGATATCCTTGTTAACCTTCTGTCTCATTGATCTGTGTAATATTGACAGTGGGGTGTTAAAATCTCCCATCATTATTGTGTGGGAGTCTAAGTCTCTTTGTAGGTCTCTGAGGACTTGCTTTATGAATCTGGGTGCTCCTGTATTGGATGCATATATATTTAGGATAGTTAGCTCTTCTTGTTAAAGTTATCCCTTTACCATTATGTAATGGCCTTCTTTGTCTCTTTTGGTCTTTGTTGGTTTAAAGTCTGTTTTATCAGAGACTAGGATTGCAACCCTTGCTTTTTTGTTTTGTTTTGTTTTCCATTCGCTTGGTAGATCTTCCTCCATCCCTTTATTTTGAGTCTATGTGCATCTTTGCACGTGAGATGGGTCTCCTGAATACAGCAAACTGATGGGTCTTGACTCTATCCAATTTGCCAGTCTATATTTTTTATTTGGGGCATTTAGCCCATTTACATTTAGGTTAAATTGTGATGATTGAATTTGATCCTGTCATTATGATGTTAGCTGGTTATTTTTCCCATTAATTGATGTGGTTTCTTCATAGCGTTACTGGTTTTTACCATTTTGCATGTTTTTGCAGCGGCTGGTACCGGTCGATCCTATTCATGTTTAGTGCTTCCTTCAGAAGCTCTTGTAGGGC